ACCTCCTCCTTGGAGATGCCCGCCTGCTTCTTGCGGTTCCACTCGTTGTAATACAAACAGTTTCCATTGCGGTCAAATATGTACAAGTTATGAACCGTCATCTGCAACACAGCCGATCACAAATCAATTAACAGACATCCACCGATGATCACTCAGTGGCTCGGGGTATGCCGAATCAAAGACGAACTCCTCCACAACATAAAAAGTGTTAACATTACTTTCTGTCCCGTTGGTATTCTTTTTACTGCAAAGTTTTAAATACCAGGGATAAAATTGCACATTTTTTATTGTAGTCTGGTCCTCCGCGATGCTCAGACGTAACACAACAGCCACTAAATTATCGGTTAACCTCATTTAAACACACCAGCTTTCTCTAATATGTTTAATTACTCCATTTAAAGGAGAAAAACACATTAAATGTTTTAAAATAATCGTTATAATCAGGTTTAGCCGAAGTTTGTCTAATCCAGCTCAGTGTTTACCTTATCTTCCTGTTTCTCGCAGGACCCCAACTGCAGAGCTGTTCACTTAAGTGCCCGAATAAAACTGTTTCGAGGAAATTTATACAGCTAAGTTAGACTCTCTGAATTGAAAGAAGGTTGAATTATTAAATCCAACTTGTAATTTAATCATATGTGAGTTGGTTTGTAACATGGATATTCCGCTAATAGCGTAAATAAAATAATGTTAGGCTTTGTGCGCGGACAGCCTCTACTGAGTCCAGTTATTCATAGAGAGAAGATGGCGGCAGCACCGGTAATGATGCCGTACTTCGGCCAGCAAATTTCGTCCAAAAGTGACCTGGTCCCGGACTGGACCCGCCAGGAAGTCAGCACCGGGGTAAGTACGTGGTCTGTGGTGTTGGGCCGGGCCGAACAAGGCCCGGTTCGGTCCCGGTGGAGCGTCTTTAAACGGCAGGTAGCGGCTGAATGAGACAGCAGTTCTGCAGCAGCTAACGGCGGCTAACGGTAGCTGTGTTTGTGAGGAGATTCGGAGCACAGCGGGACCGGACCGGGCTAAACTGGGGGGTAGAGTCCGCGGAGACACACGTGTATCGGGTGGTTGATGGAAGATATTTAAATAACTACAGGGACGCGTGGAGAGCTGGCTAACGCTATGGTTGCATTAAGGGACAGACGTTTAACATTTCTTTGTTTTTCTCACTTGAGCGTTTTCAATGTGGCTTAAATGGCTTGTCCGATAATGAGCTCACCCGACAAAGGAGTCATTTAACAGTCTGAGGAGGAGGAACACGGAGGGTGATGAAGCTGAGAGTTTAAACAGGAGAGATGCTGTCCGATAATGAGTGCAGGGTGTTTATCAGCCCGTTTACCTGTTTGTTTGTTGTCGTGTGTCAGACCACCATCATGGCCGTGGAGTATGACGGAGGAGTGGTGATCGGGGCCGACTCTCGCACCACTACAGGGTGAGAAAACAAACACTGAACACGTGATGAGTGCAGGAAACACTCCTTTAACCTCACCTGTCTGTGTGTGTTTGTTTCAGAGCGTACATCGCCAACAGAGTCACAGACAAACTGACTCGCATCCACGACAAGATCTACTGCTGCAGGTCAGTCCTGCTCACTGGGCTCCATCACAGGAACTCTAATCAGAGCACAGAAAACCTTTCAGAATAAAACAGTTATGTTTTTACTCTCAGGAAGCTCAGTCTTTCAAAATAAACTTGGTTAGAATCAGCAGTCCTCACAGAAACCCACAGTCTGCAGTCAGGACATTTTTAGGGACTCTGTAGCCTTGCAGGAACACAAAGTAACCGCTTTAGCAACCCTGAAAACCACAGAGACATGAAGGGATCTAAAGCCTGGGACCAAGTTTAGGATCTCTGGGCTTCTTATTAAATTTTTGTGCCACTATCATCTTAAATAATATTAACAAGAACTTTTCTGAAGAAATTTAAAGGGGCCTGCCAGTTGGTGCGTATCAGTCAAGCCCGAATTGCAGTTAGACCAGTCAGGTCCAGCAGGCCTCAGGCTGGAGCATCAAACGGCTTACAAAACAGTTTGTCTGTCTTTGCTCAATGTGATGGAAATTTCCAAAATATTGTAGGTTTCCCTGCAGGCCCTTAGTGAAGGTCTTTCTATTGTCTTGTGTGGGTTAAAGGTAAGTGTTTATATATATATTAAAGGTATATATGTTTATGAACATGCTAGAGGTTGTGGATCTCTAACTACATTCCATAACATTACATTACTCCATCTAGTGTGGTACCAGCAGGGTAAAAGCTAATTATTGCTAATACGCTAATGGTAGCATGTGGGTTATCACTAGCATGTTAACAGGTTAACTAACATTAAGCTAATAGTAAGTGAACTGTAGCTTTTACATCAAAGTTAGCTGAAATGCTAATATTAACTGACATTAGCACGTGGGCCAGCAAGTTGTATAAAATGAACAGGAGTGCACGTTCAGCAGAACCTAAATGGCCTTTAATTGGGCTCCGACTGATACGCACCAACTTTCAACTTTCTGTAGAAATGTTCTTTCTAAAATGTTTTTAAAATGATAGCGGCACAAACATTTGACACCACTTTGTCGGATTTGAAGAAGGGGGGTCTGTTGAACCTTTGAGATGCCTGATGTTTCTGTAGCACCTTGAAAACTTGTCTGAGAAACTCTTGCCCTCCTGATGAGCGGCTCCTCAGCAGACGTCATGTTTGTGTTCGGCTGCAGTCTGCACTCACATCTAATGCACTACTGCAGCGCATTTATGAGCGCACACGAGTGTGTCCGATGGAGGAAGAGGAGTGGGGGAGGGTCTTCATCATCTCGTCAGTGCAGGAAACATCC